ATAAATGACAGCTTAGTGAACATATGTACTGTATTTGTTTGTTATAACAATAAAATCCATATAAAATGGAATTAACATTCTGTCTTTCTGTTTAGACTCAGACCAAAAACCATTGTTTGTTACAGATGAGGGACATTTCAAAATAGTCTGAAGCAGAATGTCATAAAATCTGTTTGATTTGCTCACACCATTACTTTTGGCACAACTAACATGAACTGATGGTCGAAAGGAAAATTAGGTACCTCAGCTTTAATTTAGCGAGTGCGCTTTGGGAGAAGACACGGAGGAGACTGAGGCTCCGCAGTCCAGCTTCAGCGCTGTACATATTGTGTGCATCGGTTACGCAAAGACACGTACGCACACTAGAGAATAGTTCTGAAATAGTTCTGTGCGTGGTCTTGGATATGATCCCATTACGCAGCACCGTTCGCCGTGATCACAGCCGCTGGAAGTGGGAACGGTCCAGAGCGCTGTGGCGCCCGCAGCTCATCATGCAGAGTTCATACAGGGAACAACAAGTGCCCCCGCGGTCACGCGTGTATTCTTTCAAAACTTGAATTCCCAGAGGGCCTACCTGCTCTGTCCCCATTTTACACACGGATGTGTCCGCGGCATTCTGAGTGTTATTATGGGACGCATGGGCATGCGTCAAATGCGTTAATTTTTTTAACGCGATTAATGAAAAAAAATTTACGTGCGTTAACGCGATAATTTTGACAGCCCTAATAAAGATCAAACTTCATGTCCGTGATTGCTGCCATTATTCCCCCAAAAGTAGCCTCGGACCTCGCTGGTTTTCCAACAACGAGCACGCTGGTAGCCATGCTCGTTGTAGGAGCAATGCTAGCGATGTCACTGCCAGCCTCGTCTCTATTACTTTTTAGTTAGCCTAGCGCATTTTAAAGTTAAACATATAAATCGACTGATTATGGTAGCACAAGATTATATATAAAAATCACCAAAGTGGTTAAAACCGTAACAAATTAATAATCACTCCAGGGATTTACATTCATAATTAATCCATAAATAAATCATATGCGCATTAAAATAGATTAAAGTCTAATAAACCCAAATGTAAATCTTTTCACATTGTACTGACCCAGGAGCTATAAAGAAAACTGTTTTCAGTTCATTTGTTTTAAAATACTGCTTTAGAGGTAGACGCCTTGTCTTCAACACGCTCGGGGAAGGTCCGAGTTCCAGACTATAGCCGCAGATGAATCTGAAACGCAGCCTCCCTCATGTCTAGTTCCGAACTCTTGGCACCAACCAGAAGTCACAGTTCCCTGCGCTCCTCCAGAGCTCCCAGGAGTGAGTTCTTTTGTGCACCTACACCGTCGCGGATGTTACCATGGGGCGTGGCCATGGAGTGGACTTGTACACCTTCGATAAAGCCTACTTTTTAAAAATTCTATTTCTCTTGAGCCAACAGGACAGCACAGTGCTGATGAACCTGAGGTCGGACTAATTGTGGTGTTACTTCCTGGGTTTCATAGGCAGGACATCGAGCTGCAGCATTCTGGATGTACTGCCGCTGTTTTAACCGCTTGTTTAGAGAGAGTCCTGTGACACAAGCCATTGCAGTTAGTCCAATCGTCATGCGAGACAAAGGCGTGGGATTATTATGTTTTCTCATGTCTGACTTCTAGGACTAACAATGTTTTTTATTTTAGGCAATGCCTCTTCTGTAGGTGGAAGTATGCTGATGTTTGCATCACAAGTTAGAGATGTGGCTAGTGATTACTTCCAAGGTTCCTGAGGTCCATTATTTCTCCTCCTAGAGTTATCTGCCTGAGTATGTGGGGATTTCAGGGAGAGAGACATTGGAGGTATGGCAGATACGGCTTCTCCTCTTTGTTTCTGAGGTCCGACTAACTACAATAAATTTCAGGGTTATCTTTTTCTGTGTTTTAGGCTCGGAGGGTATGTTATATTTGCATACCAATCACTGATCTGTTTAGGATACAAGGTGATAGGAGACGAGTTTCCATCGGTCCATGTTCTCCTGCTGTCGCAGGTGACACGATAGACCTGAGTCACTCGTCAGCCGTATTTGTGATAGGACACGTGATTACTGTGTAGTTATTTCACTACTCAGAGGCCTGCATTGTAAAATATCCGTAATCACAAGGTAAATAGGACGCACGAGTTTGATTGAGCCCTGTGGCACTACGAAGGTCAGGGCCCAGATGGTCTGAGGCACACAGTCTCCGATCTCCACAACAATTTTCTTTCTGTCCTGTCGAGCTTAGGATTATGAAACCTGCTTAGGGATGTGTCCAAGAAATCACAACCCATGTCCTCATAGTTCTCTGAATGTGGTTACCATTGTTCGACAGTTGTACGGAAAGGTGCACTGAATCTCAATCTACAGGCTATGAACTGTGACTTTTCCTGCGTCAGTCGTTCAAGTCTGATGTCATTTGTTTACCTTCTACTAGTGCCGGTTCTATGTGCGTAGGTGGGGTCTACATACCAGACTGGAACTTCATACATCTAATTTGATGTGATGGATTAATGTAAAAATTATTGTAAGTTGTGGATAGGATTTCAACACTTTTTTTTAGAATTTTAACCCCTGAAAGGCAGATTTGGAAATGGGCCGTTAACTTTTAAGTGCCGAGGCATCCTAGACTCCTCTTTTTGTAGGAGGCGGTCTGGATGACGGCCGTTTCAGGGCCATTGGGGAATAGTTCCGGATTCAAGAGACCATATTTACTTTATGCGTGAGTGAAGGTAAAAGACTTGCTCAGAACAGATTTAGAAATCTAGGAGGTAATACATCCAGGCTACATGTAGGATAGAACTCAGAGACTTGTAATTTATCATTTGGACAGTTTCATTGTGTACTGGTGTTGTGTAAAGTGTGTCAGCCCAAAAAGCTTCACTGGCTGTTGGGATTGTAATTGCTACTGTGGAGGTGATGGCATTTTTGATGCCTTGGACTTTGCTGCATTAAAAAAACTCTGCATAACTCATTACATTTGGTTTTGGAGGTAAGCTCTGATGGCATCTTAACAGGGGGATTTGTCAATTTAGTTTCCCGTTGTTGAGAACAGAACGCGTAGATTGCCACTACAACCTTCGATGGTTTCGGAAAATTAAGTTTCCCTCGTTCTACGTATAGCACACTGTTGAACTGCACAATGCATCTTTGAAGATTCATGGTCACTTGGAGATTTGACTTTCGCCACTTTCCGCATCGGCTCCTCGGCACTCGCTCTTCTTCGGTGCCCTGACCAGAGTCTGCTTTTGGCCATGGCGCCTTTATGCTTATTTGTAACAATTTTGACCTTTACTAGGAGCAATCGTGTCCAGAACATCCAAAACACTAGAGGTGACAGAGTTAAGTAATTCATCCACAGTAGAACACAACGTGTTAATCAAAGTTTATCATCCCATGACAAGTTCACCTGTATTTTTGTTTAGGTGTCTTCTTCTTGCTAACAATTGAGGATTCTGCTCGTGCTTTACTAATATGAGACACTTATTCAAAAAATTCACAGAAATGATCTGACAGGAGCAACATTGGCACATTTACATTTGAGATATTAACCCCTTTAGTAATTAGCAGATCGAGAGTGGTGTCCTCTGCTATGGGGGGGCCAATGCACATTGCTAGAGTGAGACCACAGGTTTCCAGCACAGAGCTCAGCTCTTTCGCGTATCTCATCATTCATCGTTATCTACATGTATATTAAAATCAACCTATGACGACTAAACTATCAAAGTCTGTGCACACAACTGAAAGCAACTCGGTGAAATGATCAGTGCAATCTAATGACATTGACTGTGGCGGCTGTACACATCAATAATAAGAATAGAAGATTGTGTTTTGTTCTATTTTAAAGAGACATCCTCAAATGAGGAAAATTTCCCAAGAGGTACTCTATAGGGAGACAATACAATCTTTTAAAACTACTTCCTGCTGTGCTCTCCTCTTTTATTTTCTCGAAATTTCTGATTTCAAATTTGAAATTTGGTGGTGGTTGTTTCTATTAAAACTACGCGATTTTCTGTTTATGGTCAAGCCAAGTTTCAGTCTTAAACATAAAGTCAAGATCATAAGAACAGATAAAATTATTAATTAAAAAGGATTTATTGCATATGGGATCTGACATTAAGCAGAGCAAGGTTTAAAAATAATGTCAGTGTCAGTGGGTTTTCGTTGATTGACTACAAGAATTGGAATTAGATTTCCTGAGTTGGACCGTCTAACTGATGTCCTTATGTTATATTTGTGTTTATTCAAATTGAAAACACATTTACTGAGCCGGTGCGAGGAACACACACAGTCTCTATTGGTTTAAAAAGTGGATCATCTGTTTTACTTTGTTAAGTTCCAGATGCATGGCTGGTAAGCACCGTTCAGTGGTCAGGACTGGTATTGACACTGCCAGACGGACAGGGGTCAGTGTTTGCTCCACGTACTCACCCGGTGCTGGAGTGGAGGAGGAAGGTGGTAGTGGGGGCCGAGAGGCCTCGGATGTAAACAGTCACGCCCCCCTCGGGGAGCACTACGAACAACTTGGCGTAAAAAGTCCATCAATAAAACTGGGTACCGTAATCTGTTCGGGTGCAGGACCGTCTGACGATAGGCCACGTGACGCTTCCAGAACAGGGCCAAAGTGTTCTAACAAAAAAAACAAAGTTAAAAGTGCTGCATGTAGACTGGAGCCACACTATTCAGCGCTCAACGCGACCTGTACAAGCAGTCCTCCCCGGTTTACAGTCGGGACTGGACCAGAGATAAAATCACACAAACCCAGAGGACTGGAGGAAGACGGAATAGATCCATAAAATGCTTCTTTGTGACCTCGGACTGCTGGCAGCTTCATGTCGTTGATCCCCACATGCACGATTACCTTTGAAATGGTAATCAGGCAGGGAGCTGAAGCAGAGGAGGGAGACGTATGAGCAGGTTGGTACAGTGGCTCCCGGGAAAACACTGGTGACCGCGTTTAAAAAGCGGACGTGCCTCACGATGGAATCTCCAACAATCAAAGTAGTCGGGGCGAAGAGTGTGGACGTAGCCGCGGAGAGGGCGCTCGGTGTCCCAGAGGCCGGAACCAGCGGGGCATCCAGGTGGGGGGATGAGTCCGAACCAGGGCGCTGCTGAACACATGGAGAGGAGCGGGGGTGTTGATTTCCCAGCTCCGGGCAACCCACGTTGTGTGCTCGGGGACGCTGGAGCGGCGTGGAGGAGCAGGCTCGGGTCGCTGCTGCTGACCCGGTGAAGGTAAGCGGTGGTGATGCACTGGGTCAGGAGAGGGGAATGACCACTCTTTCGTCTGAGGACGGCTTCCTTTAGGAGCGTTTTTCTCGCAGTGGACCTGGATCCACGGACAGCAGTAGAGTTTGCTGCAGAGGTTCTGCTGAGGGGGCTGGGATGTCAGTGGAGAGTGCTGCATAGCGGTTTTGAACAGGCTTAGGACATGGGCCACGGCGCTGGATGGCTCCTCGCAGTTCGCGGGTTCCTCATTCGGAACAGGGCGCTTAGGTGAGAACAGGAGGGTCCAGTGCTGACAGACCTCTCCCACACGACAGGTGTCACAGTATGCAGCGCTCATTGACATAAGCCCGTGAGTGCTGCCCGCCAGCGACATCAAAAAGTTTGGACACGAGTGACTGTTTATCCTGCAGCTCTGCAGTGAGGCGAGCAGGACTTCTTTCGGAGGTCTGCAATAGTGGCACGCGGTCCCTCTCACGAAGCTCCAATGTGAGGCGACTAATGTCGTTCGTGGTCATTGCAGTGTCACTTTCCATGTCTGTGGTGCGCTCGTGGTAGCCTCCGAGCTAGCGCGTTTCGATTGGGTCTTTGTGTTAAAAGACGTGATGCTCTGGAACCATTGCATTTAAGGTAAAAACACTAGAGTGTACAAAAGACACTAATACACCGTACAAACGTGTTTAAAAGGCTTTAAAAGGCTTTAAAAGGCTTAAAAGGGTAAACAGAGCAGAGACGTCAAAAACGCGTGCTCAGAGGACAATTGAGGAAAAAACGCATCTGCGCATGCTTACACTGAAAAGTAAACTGCTCTAGCTAAGTAACCGTTTGTCACACTCACTATTTTAAACTAAAACTGTTGCCATTTAATCAAAAAAAGAATCCTATTCACCATTTTCTTTGTGGATTTGATTGTGTTGATTCTGTGCCTTTTTCATTTTCTTGATGTCAAGTTGTTCCTGTTATTTTCAGATTTTTTGTACTGATTGGCCTTGATATGGATTCTCATTCAGAAGGACCAGTCTCATGAGGTTGTGTTGAGAGATAGTACATCACCTGCACCTCTGCCTCGGTCTAACCCTTGTATTATGTTGAAAAAAAATGATATTGATTATGACCCGCACTGTGTAAATGCACTCAAAACAGGCAAACGAAACAGGTTAAACCAATAACAATTTTATTTTAGGTTATATAAACATTTAGAAAAGTGACACACAATACATTTTTAATTCCAACACTATATTTTAACTTTTACTTCAACTTTAACTTTATCCGAACTTCAACATTTTCAATGTTCTCCACATGATGGACAGAATGTGACTGTGTGCTTTCTGCAGATGTAATTCTTGCATTTCACACAAGAGGTACTTGTTTTACTGTCCTCTCGGGAGGGACATACCTGGCATCTTTTCCGTTTCTTTCCATCTGGGTCCACTGGATGTTGGTTGGGTGAGCTTGGGTTGGGTGACCTGATTTTGACCTTTTCAATGACAGCTGCAGCTGCTGGGGATCGAGCTGGCCTGGCTCGCGTCTGGATCTTGGGAGTGACAAGTGCTTTGCCGAGTTCTTCCAGGAAAAGCCGACGTCTGTACAATTTGCCGGCATTCCATTTCTGGTTGATTGCAGTCCACAGGACATAGGCATTGTAAGCAGACACGTCCACAATGTTGTAGAATATCACACAAGGCCAACGGGCTGTCTTGCGCTGGCAGCTGTATGTTGCTGTGACTTTGTCCAGATTGTCAACTCCTCCTTTGGTGGAGTTATAATCCAGGATCATTTGTGGCTTCATGTCTTCTCTTGTGCTCAGAGATGCATCCGTGTGCATTGTACTAATTACAAGAACATTCTTGTTTCTCTTTGGGCAGTATGAAACAACTGTTGCTTTGTCAGTGAAAGAAAATATTGAGGAATGCAGAGGTCTGCCCTGCATCTTCAGAATTTCGGTTGGAAGTTCTGGCTTATTTCTTCTGACTGTTCCCAACATGGTGAGCTTTCTCTTCTGAAGTTCATCTCCAAGGCGGTATTTTGATGCCATACTTGGCGGGCTTGTTGGGCATGTACTGTCGGAAAGGACAGCGCCCCTGAATGGAACAAGGCGCTCATCTACAGTAACATGGGGACCAGGATTGTACAACAAAGATACATTTTCAACCCATTTATCCCTCACATCTCTGATGCTGAGCTAGTTTGTCTCTTTCACGTCGACCAGCTCTGGTGTCGCGGTTGTCAAAGCGGATCACACGAGATATCATGTGGATTTTCTCCAGAGACATTGTTGCACGAGAGATTGGCCTTCCATTCTCTTCATTCCATAGACTTGCAGTGGCTTCTCCCTTTGACCAGTACACTCCAGCTAATAACAGAACTCCAATGTAAGCATGCAAGTCAGTCTGATCCAGTGGCTTCCATTTCTCTTGAAACACACGTCTCCCCTCCAATTCGGTCATTTCCTGTATAATCCTCTCTATTGGTGGGGATATGAAGAGCTGAAATGCTGATTGAATCTCATCAACTTGTGTGACAGCAAATCTTGTAGGACCGGGAGTCATTTTGATCACATTGGAAAATGATAGTCTGCCTCGGCTTGGGTGTGGTGATGTTGACCATTTAATATTACCGTCCTTAGATGCCCATGTCCCCTCTTTGGATTATGACTGCTGCATTCCTTGGGGTTCATCTGTTGGAGGAACAACGGCAGACTCTGAATCCTCCTGATCGAATGAAAATTGACAATCTGGATCAGCAATAAAATTGTCCTCTGTCTCTGAAAAATCCTCTGTTTCTGAAATCTCTTCCCCTACATCACTATCCCAGTTAAAAATCCGTGATAAAGCCTCCTCAGATGTCATCCTTCTGGAACTCACTTTTGGTGAGTTTGTCAAAGAGGACAAACTCACCAGGGGACCTCCTGTTTCGGTCCCCTGAAGAAGCGGAGGTGTTTGTCCGTAAAGCTGCCACGAAGTCCCGTTGACTGTCTGTATTGTTTTATTTTTCCCCGTGGCTGTCCAGCTGAACTTTTGTTTGCCGTAAACCTGCCTGACGTAATGACGCAGTGTCTTTGAAGTTTCTGTTACTTACAGTGGCCTAGCTCAGGCTTGAGCGCTTAATTTATAAATAGATTAATTTAATTTAATGTTTATTTATGGCATTTTTCCCGTTTTTTAGTTTACAAGAAGAGATAAAATATGAATACTTTTTTATATGAATTATGTAATGTGTCATACATTAATGTTTATATTTGTCATGAGTCCTGCGTTTTGCTTTGCTTCAATGAATATTCATATAGTCTGATAAATATATAACTGTTGACTGATATACAGTTCCAGGGCATATCTGTTTATTGTTTTGTTTTTTTCTATCTATTTATTTATTTTTTGTCATTAATCTATTTTTATTTATTTTGCTATTGTTGCAGACTGAGTAATGATAAGTTAGCTCTTTGTTGTTATTTTTTATATTATGTTTATGTATTTTTGCGTGTTTTGTATGGTTTTTGTGTGTGTTGGGATGAGTGAGAGGTTGAATGTGTGTGCATGTATGTGTGTTAATGTGATTGTTTGCTCTCTCTTAGTCTACTTTGCTTATTGTAAAACATCCACATTCTATTTTTATTTCTTTGATCATGGTTGATGGTTTTCTTATCATTCATGTAAATATTAGAAGTCTGTTACCGAAAATTGATCAACTCAGGGCCTGGCTTGTCTATAATAAACCTAGTATAATTACCATTTCTGAAACTTGGCTTTCCACTCATATCTCTGACACTGATATTAGCTTGGACAATTACACGTTATACAGAGTGGACAGAGGCTCAAGGGGGGGGTGGAGTGGCCACTTATGTCTCTTCAAATCTACAATCACATGTTGTCTGCCTAAAGGAGAAACTTTGAACTTTGAATGTCTTTTTGTCAAAACAATTCTACATGAAAATAAACATGTATTAATTGGGAACATTTATAGACCCACAAATTCCCCTTCAGATTCTGTAAAGAATATTATATCTACTGTCACTTCCTTAGGCCAAACTGGTGAGATCATCCTATTGGGTGACTTTAACATAAACTGGCTTGCATCGTCCTCTGCTAGTGCGCGCAATATTTTTAACAGTGCAAATTTAACCCAGCTCATCAAGACACCAACGAGAACAAATCATCAGACTAAATCTCTTCTTGACTGGATGTTGGTGTCTCATCCTGTTTTTGGAATCAGGGGTCCTATCTGACTGTTTTAGGGATCATTGCATAACTTTTTGCCGCTGGAAAATAAAAATGCCTCGACTGCCACCTAAACTCATTACAGTTCGTCAAACTAAATTTAGTTGTGATCGTTTTATAGATGATTTGCTTGCTATTAACTGGAGTAGATTTAAATTAATACCTTTTATTAACGAGGCTTGGAATTTGTTCTATGATTAACTTAAATTTGTAATTGATACTCATGCTCCTCTCAAAGTGATCAAAGTAAAAGGCCATCATCTTCCTTGGGTGAGTGGTGAATTGCTGCATCTTTTTAAACAAAGAGACAAAGCATGGAAGAAGTATCGCCTCACACATGATTCGGATGACTGGAATGCTTACAAGCTGCTTAGAAACAATTGTACTACACATACGAGAAATGCCAAATCTAATTACTACAAAAACTGTCTGTATGACAACTTTAAAAATCCTAGGCAATTCTGGAAACAACTCAACACTTTACTTGGTAAATCTGTTCGTCGTTCTACAAATATGGTCATTAATAATCAATCTACATCAGATCCTGAACTAATAGCAAATGCATTTAGTCAGCACTTTTCTTCTTTACCGAAGATGCAGCCTCCCTCTCAACCAACCTTGTCTCCTGATTCAATGTTATGCAGTAGTTCCTTTTCTTTCAGACAAATAAGTCCAACTGATGTTCAGCAGGCCATTAATGGACTCTCATCTAATTCAAGTGCTGGCCCTGATGGTATCGAAGCCAAATTTATCAAGCTTGCATCTCATGTTCTTTCTTTTCTCTTAGCAGATCTTTTTAACTTATCTTTTTCTACCTGTGAAGTGCCTTTTGACTGGAAACGTGTAAGAGTAATTCCCCTTCACAAAGGTGGTGACCCCTGCAATGTGAAAAATTATCGGCCCATATCGATTATTAAATTGCATTGTCAAAGTTTTTGAAAAAATAATTTTTAATCAATTATCTGATTACTTGTCAACAATATTTTATCTTGTTTTCAGTCTGGTTTTAGACAATTTTTTTCAACAACTTTCAACTACTCAAGTTCACAAATGACATTTTTACTGGTTTTGACAATAATTTTCTCACTGGTGCATTATTTATCTCAATTTACACTCAATTGGTCTTGATAGGAAATCTCTTTTATGGTTTAACTCTTATCTT